ATTACCGATCGTGTGGTATCATCCACGAACGAAGTCTTGGCCAATACCAGGGCCTCAGCTCTAGCTTCTGGTCTTAGCCCAGTACGCATGTCGCATGATTTCCAGAACGCATCACCAACTTCATAACGACGATTATCAGGATTCACCGCAGGGCCCTTCTCAATTTTACACAGCTCCTCTATAGAACTAGCCACCATATCAGCCTGAGTCAAAAGCTCATGGACCGACTCCTTATTCAGCTTGGTCATAGCAAAAGTCGGGAATACAAAACAAGTGATCAACGTTCCACCAAAGGTACCAATAAGTGTCAGAGCGACTCTCCATAATGACCAATAGATCATCTGAGTTCTATCAAATGTCTCGTTGAGACTAGGAATGATTCCGATAATCATCCACGTAAAAGCAAAGACGGTCCCAGCGTAGTCAATGCTCGGGTAAAGTGAAGCCAGCTTGCCCAGTGTCACCACAACGAACATCTCCACTTCATATGCAGGGATATTGCGAGGATTAGCTGATACGCAAATAATAGCAGTAATTGCTGCCAACAGCGTTCCTATAATCCGCTTAGTTCCCTTCACCAGAGACGCCCCTGGGGTCGGCAAGAGACAGAAAAGGAGTGGTACCAGTCCCCAAAATCCATACGTCTCTACCACCGGTTCCTCCTGAGCCCAGGCAATAAGGGGAAGCGCAAAGAGCGTAATGGATAGAGACAGTCTCAATGGATGTACCAGCCTTTGCCTGAGAGTCATATTGCCAAATGCCCAGAAAGGTAAATGCCACCAATGGATCCAATACGCCTTGCATTCAGATAGATACCGACACAGACGACCCCACCAGTTGTACTGAAAATAACAAACAATCATTAAAACTACACTAACACGGCCAACCTACCCCATTGGTCTCCTCTGGGAGGCTCATCTCATATTCCCTCACCAGCGTGTGGAACTCGTCAGCCAATACCGCAAAATGCGCTATAAGTGAGAACGCGAACTGGAAGCGTACAATATCATTGGCCGGGGACAAGGCGGATTCCCCCGATACGACAGCTTTACTATACAACAATGACTCATCCGTCAACCTTCCCTGAACTTGCTCCGACAACCCACGCAGTTGAGTCCTATCTATATCATCCCCTGGCCTCAACGGCACTGCAGTTTGCCTCAGCCAATACACCACTTCCAGCCTCAAATCGACCAAGTCAGGAACCATAGGATGCCAAATATAGCGGAGTATGCTCGGGCTGTATGAGCCATCTCTCAGGTCTGTCTTAGTGCTATCAACTCTGAAGACATTTGGTAAATTATACTCCGAATTTTCGGGTTAGGGGCCGACTTAGCCGCACGACGCCAAGCCATATCAAAATGAGCCCTCCGGCGATCGATGAAGGTGAGATGATCCGGTCCACTGTTGACATAAGTAGCCCACGTCTCGAAATAGTCAGCAGCAGCTCTCGCGAACGC